GATGGAAATACCAATTTGAGTTACATCACTCATGAAGATTGATAATTCGATTGCTGGCCGGGATAGATGTATTTAATCTTCATTTCTATGCAATATGTCTACACTTGCGATTCTCAATTTCGATGTGTAAAATCATATCGCTGCTATGGACGCCGACGGCTGATGTTTTGGTTCCGCACCGTCCCTCAACAAGGTGGCATGGGCAATTGATTTTTGGTTTCTTTTATTTTAATATTCTGACGTTTACTTGGTTGTATTTTTTTATATATACCAGTCAGACACTGGCAACAAGTAAGTAAACAGGCCGAGACATAGTTTACATTACAATCTCATGCTTCCGAACAATCCGATATTTATGCTGGAGAACAAAGTATAGCAGTACTGTGGAAATAACATACCTATTTAACCGTTGTTGATTTGTACAAAATTCCAAGAACACAAAACAAAACAACTGACAACAATCGACAAAACAAAACAAAAACTGCCGAGTACACTACACAGTTACTGTAGTCACACCAGTAAGAAAAAGATACTGTGGAACTCATGGCAAATGAAAATACAGAATAACTGTCAGTAAATTGCAGTTTGCAGCCTCCATGGACAAGTTGTGAGCTGAACTTTAAATCTCATTAGATTTGAATCTAATTGTTTAAATCTCATTTCCACATGAAGTTACACAGATCGAAAAAATGCAATATTAAGACAAGGAAAATGCTTTTTTGTCAAGGCTATATACTAAATTTCCTTATCCTGGGGGTATTTTTGTGAGTGTACATGTATGCATTAAAATTATCAAAACTTTAAACGTAATCATAGTACAAATGTAAAGTAAACAAAATTATCGAGTGATTTTGGATTTGGTGGGAAAGTAGCCGAAATGCTGTGACATTGCCTAATTGGTGGTGGGAATTGCCAAGCCAGTTTATAAAATAGTGAACAGTGAAACATTTTCGTAAATATTACTGACCGCGAAAGACGCCCACCGCGAAGTGTCTTGTTTACTAAAATAAAATATAGAGTTCACGCAGAGAAAAAACAAAACAAAACAAAAACACAAGATATCGATCAGATATATTCTCATTATTTTACACTCTTTCAGGTTAACAACAAGTTGTTTGTGGTTATTTTTTAAAGAATATTTAGAAACTCAACATAGCGGTTGGAACCCATCCGACAAACAACAGAAACTTTTAATGTGACATCGCATTGATTTGATCAGTTTCGTACATAGGGTGTGGTGTCGAATCTATACAACTGCATTTATAAATGTTTATAAAAATCTACAGTAACAGCAACCACAGGTAACCCCAAATTAAATGTGTTTATAATTACATGTAAGACGATTTAATTTTATCGAGTGCGATGTTGTAAATGTCAATTCCGTAATTGATAGATGCACTACATAACGTGGTAAATGCACCACATAACAAGGTAAATGCACTACACAACATCGTAAATGCACAACATAACATGGTAAACCCACTACACAACATCGTAAATGCACTACATAACATGGTAAATCCACTACACAACACCGTAAATGGATTACATAGCATAATAAATGCACTACATAATATGATAAATGTACCACATAACATGATAAATGCACTACATAATATGATATTGTACGACTTAAGATAGCTGTGGCTTTCCATAGACATGATACATTGAGTGATATCATGCAAAGTATGCCAACTGATGCCAACTCAATACGATACACAAACTATTTACCACATTATGCCTGCAGACTCCATACTCAATTAAAACCGTATATATATTATTAGTTGGCTTATGAGCTCGCCTGGCGTCTGCTAAAAGATGAGAAGATGTGTTAACATGCGGGAGTGAAAGTTACTTTCATGTCGGTCAAACCATGGAGGTATAAACTTATACATCCATGCTCAAACTGTTAGGACGATGCCATGGTGTTATGGCTGTCATAATACGTCACATGACACGTAGAGCAGTTTCACTACCACAGGCTACAAAACTCCAGTGGTAATGTTATTTTTGAAACTGGTAATTATTTAATTTCCATTGATTAATTTCCACGTCGTGGTGAATAGGTCAAATGTCACAGTGATCATTCCATTCAAGCA